AATGGCTGTATATTTTTCCCACCAAAAGTAGAGCTATTGCACCATACGTTTCATGGTCTCTGTAAAGAAAGAAAATCATTGTCTTGGTTTATATTTCCTTAAAAAAACAAATAAATTTCTACAAATTGTTTTAAGAACTTAGTGAAATCTGAAGTTTTTTAAAGAAATCACCTCAATTCTTTTTAATGCAACAGCAGCCCCATACACACACACAATATTTGTAAAAGGTCAAGGCTAAAATGTTAACTAGCTGCAACTTTTAATAAGCACATACCACAAAATTAAAATCCACAGGGTTTTTAACGCATAAACATTTACTTCATGACTCCTTAATCCATATCAGATCAAATAAAATGGAATTCAGAGAGGTTTTTCAGGATTTCAAAGTGGCTTCAGAACTACTTTCTAAGATGTGGAGAACAGTGGTGAACAATTTAAATGATCCCTCTGTGTAGTTAGAAGCCACAGGTCCCGGCAAACACTGTTGCTGCAGGGAGGGATTGAGAAGGCTGAAACTACCTTTTCAGAAGCGGAGGCTGCAGGCTTTTGCCCTCTGCAGATAATCCTGACCGGTTAAAGTTTTCTCTATTTGGAATTATTAAAGTTGGAAGTGTATTTAAGGGATAGGGCTACAGAGTGCAGGCAGGCAGGTGATATCTGTATCATTTCTACTGACCCAAACACACCAGGGAAGAGAGGCTTTCAAAAGAGGCCCTCAGGGGACTGGTTGTTGCACCTTCGGTGCACTATTGAAGGAAAAGAACTATTTTTAAAAATTATGGAAATTCATCCAATTGGATGCAACTGGAAAAAAAATTCAGAATGTGTAAAGTTCTGTGCTCGCTTCGGCAGCACTTACACCAGAATGTGGAAAGTTCTGCCAAAGTCTATGGTTTAATAAACACTGCAAGGGAATAAATGTTACCAGCAAGAGAACTACCAAAGAAAAACTTATGAAACTGAGCAACCAATTGCAAAGTATAAACTTTATTTGAATCCTGATTTGAACAAAACTTAGATGTCGATTGAGATGTTAATTTTGAGATGTACTATGAAATTTTTACACTGACCACAGGATAACAGAAAGGAACTGCTATTATTTGAGCTGCAATAACAGTAGTACAACTATGGTTTTAAAATCCTTATCTTTTCAGAGGTCTATACCGAAATTCTTATGGTGAAGAAACAGGTTTAGAATTTGCTTCGAATAATCCAGTGGAGGTGGGCATATGATGAAACAAGTGTGACTAATAATTGATAAATGTCAAAGCAAGAATGATACATACGTGGAGGTTCATTTCCCATAATACAAAATTATGACACAATCACTGATTCATTATTGTCTAAAATATTCATTAAGACACTTTAGCAACCTGAAGGAATGCTTATTATATAATGCTAAATGAAACAAATGTATTTATGTCAAAATTTCAAAAGCTTAAGGTTAAAGAAGAAAAGGGAGTAAGAAAACCAAACTGAATTTGTGGGTTAGTTGATTATTTTTATCTGCTAATATTAGAGTATTGTCATTATATATTACTAATGAATTCAGAACTAGGCATGTAATTTACACTACCTAAGAGAGCTGGGTATAAAACAGTGCAGGAGCCTAGCATAAACTAAAGAATGCCTTAAAGGGTATTCAGTTTCAAATAAATCCTAAGCTACATTAAAAGCAGTTTTTAACCAGATATTCAAGTATTTTCATTCTTAGTATGACAGTGTCATTTAAATAGTAGCCAAAGCAAGCTACTTTGAAGATATGAGGAGGAAGTAACAATCAAACTAGGGTGGTACAAGAAAACTAGACCCCTTGGGCACCCTATTCATTTTACAAATACATAAACTGAGGCATGAAGTTTGCTTGTTTGGATTTGTGAACTGCCTAAAGTCAAAATGAATTAGCCTCATAAACTACAGACTGGAGCCCAAAGAGGCATAGGGATTTGCCCAAAGTTACAGTGTTAACTGGAGCCTGGCACCAGAAGTCAGACCCCAACTACTCTTGACACCCTGTGCAGATCAATCTACTAAGTGGTACTACCACTTTTTCATTTTTCTTTTTTTTTAAATTACATGCATCCTGTTTCTTTTTGCCACTAAAAGATTCTCAAAAATGTGTTCTTCAATCAAATAACTAAAAATACGGCAAAAAAATAGTAAAATGACAGGAGGGTGAAGAACGTCTAATGCTTACAAAAGCAGACTCCAGATCAATCCGTATATATGAAAAGCTATACACTAGGATTGAACACTTTTTTTCTACACCGTGAACAACTCTTCCAGCTTTAAGACATTTCTGTACCACTGATAATGTCAGAATAAAATAACCAGAAAAAGCATTAACTGGCCCTCTTAAAGACGGAAGAAAACCATACATGTACACTGAGGCACTTAGGAGTCTCCCAAATGTAATTCTTTCCTATCTCCTTGAACCAAGCAAGAACCAAGACTTCAGAGACTGCTTTGTGTTCCACATATACAGCTAAGGAAGTGGGGAATCTGAAGAGCAGAAGGTCTCATGGCTGTTACCTGACTCAAGAATCTGCTTGGCTCCAAAACGCATCCTCTCTGTTCTACCTAACTACTGATACTATGTAGTTCCTACTGATACTATCTAACTACTATGATACTCTGTATCATAAAACTGCTGAAATCAAGATAGGCACTAAATTTCAGAAATCTGCAATTCTTTACTTACTGTTTAAAATTTTCCAGCCCAACTTTCTAATATGAAAAGAGAAAAAGTATAGGCTTTAGAATCAGATCAACCTACACTTGCCATTTAAAAGCTTTACCATTTAAAAGCTCAGTGACTGGCCAAATTAAATGAACTTCAGTTTCCTCCTATATAAATGAAAAATACCACCAGAGTTATAAAGACTAAAGCAAGTGGTACAATGCCTGGTACATAATAAGCACTCAATAGGACACTCTTGTTATTTTTACCTAAAGGTTTAATTAAACGGCCAATTCAAATAAGATTCAAACTTGTTTTTAAAGCAGCTGATTACTGTAGTTATGGCAGAATCTATGAAGAGTATCTCCTGGATCATCAGTTAACTCCAAAACTGTACATGCAAATATGCAATCAAGGTAAGGCACAGATTACAAAATATATGGGCAGATCCATTTTTCCAATTATGAAAAAGATACCCAACTAGACAATCATTAGTCCAATAACGATTCCTTCAAGTGCTAAATTTTTCAAACACTGTGTTATTTCCTCACCAATTCCACAATGGCTACTTCCCATATATAAGCTTCCAGAAGGCAGGGACTGTATCTCATAACATTCAGAACACTAAGAGGTGCCTTACACACAGATGTGCTCAATAAATATTTGTTGAATGAAAAGTTGATATGGTTTCCTTAATGACCTTTAAAAAAAACTTTAATGACAGAATCCTTTCACTTTAAAACATTAAAATGCAAAAGGTTTATAATAAAAATACCTCTCTCAAGCAAAGAAATTGCTGTCTATAAGAAGCATGGTTAGCGAGGCAGAACTCAAACAACAAACTGCAATTTCCTATCAAAGAAAAGTTTTAAAAATAAAACTCCAACACAATGAGCACCTCAACAGAGGAAAGCACTATCTAGTCCATTGCCAGGAACAACTTACCTTTTCGCACCTTCCTTTTGCAGATTTGAAATCCAGATTCTCACACAATCACTGGCCTTCACTTCTGTTTGATTCAATAGCATACACACTACTGAGTCTCTCTCCTTCACTATTCAATACATGAGTAGAAAGCACACTGGTCTTATTCTGCTTTCTAACTATGAAAGCAAAAGTGCACTAGTCCTAATCCAAAATTCTCAAAAAGAAAAGGGAAAAGAAAAAAAAATTTTGAGATTAAACAATGAACAGAAGTAATTGTAAAGGCTCCCATCTTCCTCCCTGCCCACACATCCTACTTCAATGTGTGTGTGTTTTTCACAAGTGCCTTCAGTATGTATTTTAAATGGTTTTTTCCCCCCCAAATGGGAAAAAGACTCTGGTGTTTTGATGGGAGGACAAGAAATTAAAAACAAAACATATTAAAGTAAGCCATTTCCAAACAGGTGAGATACCCATCAGAGTGTGTGCTGTTGCAGGAAACAGAATGGAGAGCCGTGAATGGGAGTCTCTGCACTTCATATCTGCAAAAGAAGAGAATAAAAAGATTAACTTAACTCTAGACTTGGAATACCTTCTTTACCTGTTTAAAGCAATGCCCTTAAACATTTTAAATGTACTAAGACAAAGGCTTGTGGGTGAACTCAACCTTCTTGCCCTTAACACATAAATTTAAACTATATCTACAGTATTAGAAATCAATATTTGAACACTTTGATACCACACCATCTTGATATTACAGGGTAAAAAAAAAAATCTCTCTCTTCTTTAGGCTTTTCTTAAAACCATCATTTTAATTAGCCAAATGGGTTCCCTATTGCAGTTATCTAGGGAGAATTAGTTCTAACAGTAAGAAAAACAGTCTGGAGGTTCATTTCTAACAAATACTCTACCCCCTATAAGGAGTGGCAGTTAACCTTCTGGGAACCCCAATGCACACACCCCATTCTCCAACCTCATTAAAGGTTAAGAATAAAAGTGCCCCACGAGCAAAGTCATCCCCCCCGCCCCCGCTCCCCACCCAGCACCACATTCTCCGCAAAACTCCTTCCTTACTTCGCGCTAACCCACCAGCCGCTAGAGTGGGTACGCCAGGGCCAGGTCACAGACGGAGCCCAGGTGTGAGAGGTGAGCTCCGCGAGCCCGTCAGGCACCCGCGACCCCACCTGGTGACACACCTGCCCTCGCAGGAGCCCACCTGCGGCAGGGACCGCCCTCTCCCAGCCTTGCGCCGATGCCCAACTCGGAGCGCGCGTCCCGCGCCGCACGGGACCCGAGGGTGCGCAAGCGGCGGGAGCCGGGATGCAGGGGTGGTCCCGGCTCGCTCCCTCCCTAGGGACCAAGCGGGCCCCGGGGCGTGCTGGGGCGGGCGCGGTACCTTTTGGACAGATCCATGAGGACCCCGGAGAAGAGCTTCTCTCCTAGACGGAACGACACGACGAGCGCGTCCTCAATGATGTGGTCCAGCGTGACCCGCACCTCCGAGCCGGGAATCAGCTGCGACACCGCGGAGTCCCCGCCCGCCGGCGGCACGAGCGCCGGGGCTGCGGGCTGGGGCAGCGGCGGTTCCTGGCGCTCCTCGGGAGCGGGGGGCTGCTCGGGCTGCGGTGCAGGGGAAGGTGGAAGCTCGGGCCCTCCCTGAGGCACAGCTGCCGCCGGCTCCGCCACCCGAGCGGGCAGCTTCTCCTCAGCCTCCAGCTCCGGCCCCGCCGCCTCCGGGCTGCGGGCGAGCTCCCCCGGCGGCGGCGGTGGCGGCGGGAGCGGCGGCTCGTCGGCCTGAGGAGAAGACTGCTGCCCGTCGGCCTCTCCGTCCGGCACGGATGCTTCAGTCGCCGTGACCGGGAGGGGGTCAGTGCCGGCCTCGCTGCCGGGGATGGGCTCCATCTCCGGCTCGGCCTCGCCGGCGCCCCCCTCCCCGGGGGACGCTGCAGTCGCTGCCGCCTCTGCAGCCACGGCCGCCATTTTCTTCCTGGCTTCTCCCTCCTCCTGCTCGGGCTGCAGCGGCGGCAGCAGCGCTGCTTGGTTCCCTGGGCCTTCCCCTCCCTCCCTTGAACAGTTTCGTCCCGCCCTTTCCCTGATGCTCGGCATTGGCACCGGGCCATTGGTTGCGCCCTACACCTCTCCCTCACTCCGGATACTCCATTGGCCAGATGCGGACGTCTATCACCCAGTCAGTCCCTCCCCTCCCGCACAGAGTAGGAACTTCTCATTGGCCGGATGAGTTGTCAAATGTTGAATCTTAGAGGAGGAGTGAGGAGACGAGGGAAGTCACAAAAGCAGAGCCACATACTTGTCGCCTCTTTCTATTGGCTGGAAGAGGAAATAAAGTTTTGTGGTTGGCCCGCGCTCTTGCCCATTATCAGTCAGGCTTTCAGAGGTGGGATAAAGGAGAGAATCACGTGGCGTGCCAGTTCTTTCAAAGGCGGCCGAGGGGAGGAGTCAGGAGAGAATGCGGGAGGAGAACAGCTTCCCAAGAATCCCTGCGCGGAGCTCCTTAGAATAAATGTTATTTCTAGGCGCGGACCTGCTTGCGGCCGCGTGCGGGCACGACAGGCTTCTTTGGAAGGCCATCTAAAGTTTGAAAATAATTCTTCAAACGTGTTTTGAGCTCTTACTCGGCTAGGTACCGTGCTAGGTGCTGGAGGTGGAATGATGTGCAAGACATTCTCCATAACCTCGTGACAGACACTCCAGCCCACACATAGTGTTTTCCTTGACTTCTCTCCACTTTCTAGGAACAATGCACCTACTTATTTCAAAGTAGGAAAATGCTAATGAAAAGAGGAGGGACACCATGCATACTGTATTTAGCTGATGAATGTTCCAAAGAGCAGTCCTGAGGCATTTAGGGGCTTACCTTGCTTGCTGTCTCCAAATTGACCGGAAAGTGAAGGCACCTAGTGTCTTGCTTAAACCTTTTTTCTTTCCTGGCCTCTTCCTGTGCCACAGGCTCAAAACCTCTCTTCAGTGTCTAATGCTCCCACTTTAACTCTTCCCATTTTAAGTCTCTTGATTTGTTATGTCTAGAAGAATCTACACAACACATTTATTTCAGATTTCACCTCAGAATCAGCCTATTCTCCAGAAGAGGTTGTAGGCACTGAGAATGCTGACAGGGAGGAGAGAAAAGGTGACAGTATTAAGGGGAGTTAGAAAATGAAATTCCAAATAATAATAGCTAACAATTAAGGAGCACCTGTGTACCAGGCCCTAGTACAAACCCTTAGTATAGCATCTCATTTAATCCTTACACTACTCCTATGAAGCAGGTGCTATTATACCCATTTTAGAGATAAAGAAATTGAAGCCCAAAGAGTGTGCGCAAGGTCACTCAGCTAGTAAATTTCAGAGACAAAACTGCAGTTTTACGTTGAAAAGGACCAAAAATGACAAAAACTAAATATCACCATGTGTTCTCAGTATTGCAAGCCACGGGGCTCTTAGGGAAAGCCAATAGGAAATCCTAGTCAGGGCAGGCTTAGCATCTCCAAAGTAGCAGAAGGAAATGAAATTACTGACTGTCACTCTGTGTCAGAGTAATTTTCCCATAAGCTCACATTTAAAATCCTGTGAATTAAGTCTTCTCCCTCTTTTCCAGATGAGAAAACTGACCCTTAGCCAGGTTAAAGATCTCATAGGTCACATGCCTAGCAACAGGTCCAATCTAACCCAACTCTGCCAAGATCCATGACTATTCCACTCACTCATTCTTTGAACAAATTATTTATCTCCTGCAGGCCAGATAGTAAACAGACATGGATCTCACCTTACAGGGCTTTCACCATGATCACTTGGTCTATAATTCACCATAGTCAATTAATTAAACATTACATATAATTCTATAAAACTAGATCCATGCTGTGTTCCCACACTGTATAACCTCTCAGAAGGAAAAAAATACAGCTCAGTTCCGAGGAGGTGATTAATTCTTACAGTAATTCATTGCAAGATGCTGCAGTGAATCACTTAAATTAAGCATTTATGGCAGATCGCAGAATACCAAGTCCTCCTTCTCAATCACCATTTTCATCCTGCAACTGAAGAGCCTCTACTGGGTCACTATGTTCACATCAAGTATAACCCCTGCTGCTTGTCTGTCAAGTTCCTCTCTGTTCCTCCTCTATCTTTCAGGTTTGTTTTCTACTATTCTTCAAGCTTGCTAATACTGGAAAGATCTAATCATGCATCTTTCATCCATTTATTCAACAGATAAATTCATTCATATGCTAGGCTTGCAGCTAATATTAAAGACCTACTATGTGCCAGTTACTGGGCTTACCAGGCCAAAGGCATGTAGAAAGAACATAAGAAACTTCATGGTTCATAAGCCTGGGGCTTAATTTTCTAATTAGGGAGTCAGAAAATAAGCAATGAATAAACAAGATGATTACAGATTGTGAGAAATGCCATAAAAGAAATTAATAGGATGAGTGATAAGCAATCATTTCTGGCAAAGGGGCAGAGAGTGTCTTCTTTAGATAAGGTGGTCAGAAAAAGTCTCTCTGAGGATAAGGCATTTTAGTTAAAATGCAAAGGATAGGAAGGAGTCAGTTATTGACTGTTGTATGACTTCAGAAATTGCTGAAGTACTGAGGCAAAAGGGGACTTAGCTCATTCCAGAAACAGAAAGAGACCAGCGTGGTTGAAGAGGAATGGGCAAGAATATAGGTTGGTGAAATAAAATTGGAAAGGAAGACCGGAGCCAAATCATATTTTAAGTACTGCAGATATAAAAACAAGAGATTCTACCCTCAGGGAGTTTTAAGTCTATTGGGAACCTAAGCTGTTGTACCCTAGTCACCCATTCTATGCCTCTTTCTGGCATAGAATCAGCATAGAAAAAGCCCTTGGTATTTATGGAATGGATAGCCATATGGTATTTGAGACTAGATGGATGGTAGATGAATGGATGGAAGGTTGGATGGTGTCTTAATCCATTCAGTCTTCTAGAACAAAAATGTCACAGACTGGGTGGCTTATAAACAACAGAAACCTATTTCTTACAGTTCTGGAGACAAGAAGTACAAGATCAGGGCACCACCATGGTTTGGATGATGGCCCTTTGCCAGGTTGCAGACTTCTGAAGTATTCACAGGGCAGGAGGGGAAAAGGGAGCTCTCTTGGGCCTCTTTTATAAGGGCATGAATCTCATTCATGAGGGCCCCACCCTCATGACCTAATGACTTTCCAAAGACCTCCCCCCAATCAACATGAGGGTTTAGGATTTCAACATATGAATTTTGGAGGGACACAAACATTCAGACCATAACAGATAGATAATTGGTTGATTAAACAGATCACTGAATGGATGGACTGATAAATGGCAGGGATAAGGAATATAGCTGACTACTCAAGTGGATCCTCACTGTCTGTCACAAGCAGACTTTGATCTTGAGCTCTGTGGAGTAGTACAGTTTGGTAGCTAAAAACTCAGAGTGGAAGTGAATGAACCTCTATGTGACTCCCCAGTTGGCCTCTGACTAGCTATATGATCTGGGCATGATCTTAGGCTAGTTGATTAATCTCTGCTTCCTCATTCATAAAATATCTTAATAATAACTACAAAAGGGTGTGCTTGCTTTTAAGTGATATAACATATAAAGTGTTTAACATAGAACCTAAATCATAGTAAGCACATCTCCATCATTGTTAGCAACTAGATCTAGAAATTCATTCTTTCTTTTTTTAAGTATTATTTATTCTCTTTAGTAATCTCTATACCCAATGTGGGGCTCGAACTCACAACTCCAAGACCAAGAGTCAGATGCTCTTTCAACTGAGCCAGCCAGGTCCTCCTAGAAATTCAGTCTTATAACATCTGGTGTTAATCATATTCCAGGGGCTCTCCAACCTTATGAAAGACTAAGTAAAACCCCAAACACTGGGGTGTTGATTCACAGAGAGTTTTAAATATGGCTAATTGTGGTTTGTTTGTTTTTTCTGGGCTTGGTTTCTCAGGAAATCAAATTATAAACAAAAAATAGCATGGGGAGCAGAGACCCTCCACAAAACTCACTGCATGGCTGCAAAGCCATGATCACTGAACGAATTGCTCCTCTTGTTCTAGAACAATTTCTGACCAGTAACCAATATTTCTCTTCTAAAATCAAATCACCTACTCTCAGATCAAGACAGTGATTGATAACTACTGACGAACATGTCAATTATTGGCTCTCCCTCCATGCATCTCAGTGGTTCTCAATGTATCAAGGGATCTTTCTGAGAATCTGCTAAAAAGATATTTTACATATTGTATAATTCCATTCACATAAGGTACCAAAACAAGCAAAACAAATGTATGCTCTTAGAAATCAAGATAGAGGTTATTTTTGACCAGAGAAGGGGAATAGAACAGTTCAGCTAATGACTACAAGGGAATATGAGTAGGGTTTCCTAAGATTCTGGTAATTTTCTGCTTCTTCATCTACCTACTGGTTACACAGGAAAGTTCAGTTTATAAAAGTTCATCAAGCCATGCACTTTTATGTGCTTTTCTGTATATAGATTTATATTAGTTATCTATTACTGCTAGTGTCTTAAACATCATACATTTATTTTATCACAGCGCCTGTAGTCAGAAATTCAGGCATAGCTTAGTTGGGTCCTTTGTTTAGAGTCTCTCTTAAAACATAACCATGATGCCTGCAGGGGTTGCAGTCTCACCTGAAAGCTAGATTAGGGAAGGGCCCACTTCCAAGCTCACTAATATGATTCTTGGCAGGATTCAATTCCTCGATTGCTATTGGCAATAGCAATCTATTGGCTAGAAGCTGCCCTCACCACTTTGTCACATGGGCCTGTCCATAGGACAGTTCATGATTTACAGCTTGCCTCATCAGAGCAAATGTACAAAAAAAATCAAAGAGAAATGGAGCATGCAATAGAGAAGCCACAGTCATTTATAGCCTAATATCAGAATAGTCTTTCATCACTCGTGCTATGTTCTATTCAGAAGCAAGTCAGTAGATCAAGGAATGCCTGGGTGGCTCAGTCAGATAAGCGTCCAACTTCGGCTCAGGTCAT